ATAGCAAAAACCTCTCCAAAAAAAAAAGAAAAAAAATGGTTTATTCACCTTGCAGTTTTGGAGTCCAAGGTTAAGGGGCCACATCTGGTGAGAGTCTTTTTAAATTCTTTTTAAGGTTTTTCTATAGGAGGGCATGTGCACTTGCGGGGGAGAGACAGATAGAAGGAAAGTGAAAACGCACCCTCCTGGGGGATGGACACACCACAATCCCTTCTCCTCCTTTCTCTTGGAATTTTGGGCATGCATGCACACGTACCCAGCATGATTTTCAAGCCACCATGTCTGGGATCTGAACCCTGGTGAGCCATATGGGAGTCTAGCACCTTAACCACTACACCACCTGCTGGCCCCAGTGAGGGACTTCTTTTCATTGGGACTCTGTGCCATCCTGGGAAGTACAGGGCACCATACAGCAAAAGAGCAAGAGTGAGCATGTCTCCATGTGTCTGGCCTCTGATCTCATTCCCTCTCATAACTTTTTTTTTTTTTTTTAGAGTTTTTTTTGTTTTTGTTTTGTTTTGGTTTGGTTTTGCTATAGGGCGCATGCACTCGCCAGACAGACAGAGAGAGAGACAGAGACAGAAAGCGAAAAATCACCCCCCCAGAGGGTATGGCCACACCACAATCCTTTCTCCTCCGTTCTCTCGGGATCTTGGGCACGTACGCACACGCGCCCGGCGTGAGTTTTAAGCCACCGGGTCCGGGACGCGAACCGCGGTCGACTATGTGCGAGTCCAGCGACATAGCCATTACGCTAACTGCTGGTTCCCATAACTTTTTAAAAGTGTATTTATTTCTTTTGTAAGAGAGACAGACAGACAGGAATCCCTGTAAGGATATTCATGCTGTGACACCTCCCCAGTCTCAGTTGGCTGGGACCACTGGTATATACGCACAGACCTAGCATGCTCAGGAAACTCCTGGGGTACTCACCTGGGACCTGTCCCTAGCGGGTCCAGTTGTGTAACTGCTGTACCACTACCTGGCCCTTCCTTATAAACCTACCAGAATTCAGGCACGCCCCACTGTTACTATCTAATCCTAATCACCCTCCGAAGACTCCGTCTCTTAATCCTGTAGTTGGATTAAGTCCCCACCCACTTGATACTGTCACAACCAAATTTTAACACGTGCATTTTGGGGAGGCATAGTCCTTTTCTTTTCTTTTCCTTTTGCCTTTGTTTTTGCTATAGGGCAAGTGCACTTGCCAGAGAGACAGCAAGAAGAAAAGTGAGAAATCACTCCCCAGGGGGATGGCACAATTCCTTCTCTTCCACGCTCCTCCTGGGATTTTGGGCACACTTAGGCCTGGCATGATTTTACAAGCTGCCAGGTCTGGGACTCAAACCAAGGTTGGCCATGTGGAAGTCCAACGCCTAAACCACCACGCCACCTTCGGGCCAGGGAAGACACATTAAAATAATAAAAATGAAATACTTATTTTTGTGTGTCAACGTGGCAAATAATGAAAATAATATTTTTCTTTTTTAAAAAAGAATTATTTCATTTATTTATTTCTTTAAAATTTGACCAGAGAGGGACAGAGAGAGAGAGAGAAAGTGAGAAGGCAAGCCTCC